GAGGATGTAATCTTATCACTGGAGCTTTAGAGGAGGTGTGGTGGCCTAGGGGATGGATCAGTGCCTTGGAACCAGGAGGTCCTGGGTTCAAAACCCAGTTGATGTCCAAGTGCCCTTTGGAAAGGCATTCTCATGTACCAAGTTCCTCCGAGAGATCCTAGCTGTAGCTTTGAAATGTTGAAGCATTGAAAGGATGTGCTGTTGCTCCACGATAGAGCATCTATCCTCAGATACCAAGTCCTTTGGAATAGACTTTAAGCCAACGATCCAGAGGTGTTGTAGTCGAGTGGTTTAAGCACTCGACCTAGAATGCAAAGATCGTGGGTTAGATCCTTAACACGGCACTGATGTCCTTTGATTAGTCTTTAAACTGCATTTGCCACCCTATAGAGTACAGAAGCTGTGACGTCACAAAAATCATTTTCCGAAAGAGCATCAAAAATAATGTCCAAATGTCTAAAAACCAATTGAATATGTTAAGTATTGGCTGTGATATGACCATCTGAATAAATATATGTCCTATGGGAACTCAGTGTTATATGCTCTGGCTCCTAATGGTTAGGAGCCAGAGTATATATATTATTGAACCCCCTCTTCTTTATACCACATTCATTACACTTTTCCTGTTTTAAACAAAGTTTTTATTCAATGACTTTTTCTTTCTTTGTTTCTTTTATGTTATGTTTTACTGGCCCTGAATCATGTCATTTGAAATTAAAGAATAAGCATTATTAAGTACCTCAACTATGTAAGAAAAGAAGGAAACTTTGATTAAATGAAATTCCAGTATGTCTTTTACAGTATTTTACTTTGATCAGGATCTCAGAATTTACTTCAAGGCTACATGAACTGTAATGTCAAAATACAGTAATTTTTTTCCTTACTACTTTTTCATTTATACTCAAAGTAATTCATAGCATATGTTTACTACTTTTTAAACATTGTTCATACTTATATCATATTAAAAAATTGTATATACATGTAATGTTAATTAATAAATGTAACAGAAATACATCCAGAACTGAGTAGTGTTTTTCATAATTGTAAATTATTTCAATCAGCTTACATATCTAGTAAAAAAGGTATCTTTGTTGTGTCATGAACAATATAGTAATTTACAACCATCTACCACTAATTTCTACTTCTATAAGATGGTGATGAGGAGCAGGAGATGATTATGAGGAGGAAGATCATGATGATGATGATTATGATATTGACATTGATGACAATACTGCTAATGATGATAATGGAAGTGATAATATTGATTTGAATATTGTAGATAGCTGTCTTCAGTTGTGGTGCTGCTAAGTTCACAAGGAAGTGAATGAGATTTCAAGAGAAAAGTTTGAATCATCATTTGTCTTTCCATTGGATATTATGCCTCCTTCCGCCGAAAGTGGTGCCAGAAGGATACCTCAACATAACGCATTACAAAATAATACTCGTCATTTATTGGATGAAGTTGAATTGCTTGAGGATTGACTCTGAATCATTACAGTAATATCAAACAAGATAAAATATTTGGTAATTCTTTGGGCATATATAGCAGTTTATTTATTTTCAATCGATCATGAATATGTACATATAACTCGGATTACATCATTAATATTCCAAAGTTTCTGTACAACAATCAGGCACATTTTAATAACTTAAACACACGGCAAGATGACACAAATGCACACTTTTAAGATATATTCCATTTTTACGTTGTTGAACCCGGGGTACTTTTTTCATAAAAACTTGGGAAAACTTTCCAGAGAATATTTACATTTTTAATTGTGTAAAATTAATGTACAGCAAAGCCCAAAACAAAATAAGTTGAAACAGAAAGGGGATTATACTCTTACGTGTTCTCATAACAAATTAATTGATATAGAAGAAACTGTCAAGTTGATCCTTTTTATCCAAACATTTGGAAAGTAACTTAAGGAAAAATCCCACCTGTTACAGAATAAACCTAGAGGACTTTTTGTTATTCAAAATAATGAACATATTATTTCGGGCCAAAATACATTCTGGATCCGTCAGTCACATTGGAAGATTTTGTCTGACCTTTTCGAATGGCCTATACCCCCAAACAGGGCCTACATGCCCAAGATATCCCTCATTTCATAACCGCAGTGCAGAAAGACAGCACTATAAGCCTATAAAACTGATGAAGAAATATTCACATTTATTTTACAGTTAATAGCTTAGCATCGTGTATCCATGCCAAAAGCCAAGCAAAGTGGGGGGGGGGGGGGGGGTTGGAGGGGTTCTTGCATTAGTTTTCTACAAGTGCCTTGCTTTAATTCGTTTCTAGTCAAGATTTTTTTTTTTTAAAGGGGCGGGAGATTTAAAAATGTGGGAGGGGTGAGTCCTAAACTCCCCTCTAGAATCGCTACTGCCACAAGCATTGCACTATAGTCATTACCTAGTCCGACCCTCATCGCGCCATGTAAACTTCATGAATTTTTAATCATCCCCCCTAGCATAGGCAGCTGCGAAATATATCATGATTAGATGGTGCGTGAGGAAAAATACAGGATATTGTATATTCATTACAAAAATATCCTTTTTATTATAAAAATTGATGCTTGTCAATAATAGTTTGAAGGGCAATTAGGTCGTTGCCATCTGCACTTGATTATTTCATATGGGAAACAAATTATCTTTTGTTCCAATAGAGCTGTTACATGATAATGCGGTGGGGAAAACAGTATCTTGAACAAAATATTACACGTAATCTATTTTTGCAAATGAGTCGAATTTAATATTGCAATGTATAATGGTTAAAATATAATTAATTTCAAGAAATTCTACACAATAATTATATGAGAAAATTCACATTCAATTTAAAGTTTGCAATTAACACTGCTCCTGAAATATGTATTACCATTTATATCTTGATATGTGATAGCATGTAGGCCTAACCAATGTCAGTGTTTTATGCCATTTATTGTTTAAACCTAGCCCATGTACATTAAATTTCCTCTAAAGCTTCTTGATATTCTTATGACATAGGGTTAAAATTACTAACCCTTCTTTTGCCGAGGCAAGAAATATTTATTCATAAATGGGTTACGAGAGAAATACGATTCAATTCAACAAACCAAGATCCATTTCGCCTCTTGTGCCCCACTCCCCTGCAGAGCGAGATATTTATTTAATTGTAGCTTAAAGGCTATGGAGTATGGGAATCCCGGGAGATATATTGCCGTACGAGCATGCGATAATTGGGCCTCTCCCAATATAACGAAACAACTATCTGTCTGGCGGAGAAGATTCGAGGGTAAAAAGGGGAGAGCTTGACGAAAATGGAACGAATATGCAAAATAAGCTGTTGCATTTAAAAGAGAGCCCGTACACGGGTCCATTTTGTATTTTTTTTTGCTCAGAATGTAGCTGTGAAATAGGTGCATGAAGTTTGCTCGGTTGGATAAATGTTGGCGAATAATCACGCTCGATCGTATAATGCAACGATATTGTATTGATAAATTATCTAGTTCTCATCTTTTTTTAGAATGAAACGGGACTAGTACACTAAGGAGGCTACGCACTGTATCCTTTAAAAAAAAATTAGTTTTTTCATAATATTTTTGTCTACCAAAGCTCAGCAACGAACGCCAAAGTAATTAAGCTATGTCACCTCGCATTTGCAATTCAGAATTCAATTTTTGGTTGGAATTCTTTTGCAACGAAGAAAAAAACGGACAAAGGAAAATCGCTTCATTAAATTTTACTACTATCGTCGTTGTAATACGCCTACGTTATATCAAAACACAAACCTTTCAATTCATTACTATTAACTATAATCCTGGGCGGGGGAGGGAGGGGGCAGGATAACTCAACTCAGCTTTGATAAATTGTTTGCTCTCGTCTGTTGTCGCCTGATGTATCATTCCCATTTTCCGAAATGGGGCGAATTTCAAATTCAATCCTGCTATGTGCACTCTGTCCCTCGTGACATCCATCCATCCAGGGTTTGTGAGAATATTGATATTTTGCCCGAAGGGTTGACATTTTGGGGGGTTGACGGGAGACTGAATTTTCAGGCAGTGAGGGGTAACCCAACGCAAACAATAACATGAATGCTTTTACATATAAACACAAATTAAAGATTCTGTGGGGAAATGAACCAAATTCCATTATAGCTTGACATTTCAATATAAAAACAACGATTTTCCCCCTCCACATTCTATGACGTCACCCCGAAATATTGTGCGTAAGCCAATGTTTTGTCTGTTGTGAAGGAATTTAAACACAATCTCTTTATTATTTTTTCAAATAACACAATTTGTTTGGGTTTGAAATGCATTCCATAATTTAAATCCTGCGAGATTGTACGATATTTTTCCTAATATCCTGCATCTTGCGTCGATGATTCGCCTTTGAATGTGATATGAAAATTTACGTTAAAAGTGGATTTTTTTTATCGAAAGTTTTTTCTTTAAATTTTCTGATTTGTTCATGTATCAAACGTCAATGTGTATACTATTAAAACATAAATAGAAAATTCAAAATATTTCAGAGTATTTTTGCGCCTCGATTATACATTTAAACAATGGAATGGTAAACGTATGCTTTTCATGAAAATTTGCACCGATCGGATGTGAAAATAATGAAAGTGTATGAATGTTAACGTAAAGCAGTGAGCAGTAGAGTTGATTATGATTGTAAGTATAGATAATAATAAAAAAAGAGGAGAAAATGATGACACAAATATAATTAAGTGGCGGATTTTAGGGCACGCCCCCAGTCAAAAATAAGTTAAACTTACTAAAAAATTCAGCCACGAAGTGCCCTTTGGGGAATGTTGATAACTTTTTCAATTTGCTTGTTTTTTTGCCAGTTAGATGCAAATGTTGAGACATCATTAATAGAAAATGTTCGTAATTTTTGCGCTGTTGGAGTGGGGGGGGGGGGGGGGGGGGGGCTATTCATAATATTTAAAGACACATTGCGCTTCCGGCCAAAACACATGGATCCGCTTCTTTTAGTAGACGGTTTGGGATTGGAGT